GTCATCACAGAAGATTAAACTTGTCATCTTTATAGGTTTCTACACATATCACAATCCATTCACCAACCCTTGAAAAGATGGTTTAACCAATTTAGGTGACATATAACCTGACCTAGGCCAAACCCATTTGCATTTGCAACACTTGCTTTGTGGATCTGATATTTAATGCTCTTTATCTTAGCCCAGCCAGTGTGGCTCAGTGGATTGAGCACTGTCCCGTGGACCATGTTCGATTCCCAGTCAGGGTACATACCCTGGGTTGGGGCTCGAGCCATGGTGGGGGGTGTGCAGGAGGCAGCTGATCAATGTTCCTCTCTCACATTGAGGTTTTTCTCTCTCTCCTTTCCTCTCTCTCTAAAAAAATAAAAACGTATTTTAAAGTTTCTTATTTTATCTTAACACTATCCACATTTTTTTGCTAGTGCACCTCCCTCTTTATCCTTGTTTACAACACTGGGAAAGCAGCACCTCAAACTAGGTTGAAAAAACTCCATTCTAATCTCATTGTTTTGGCCACAAAGATACATTGGCTGAAGGGAAGCTGTCAAGTGCTGTACATAATCCCCCTCTCAGGATTTTAAAATTTCTAACAGTTTTATGTAATTGGGTCAATTATTAAAGGGACTTAAAAAAGTGTTCCAGGTTAAAGGAACAAGAAAAAATTAAGGAACAGTGTAGAAAACTTATCGGCATACTTGAACCTACCATCTCGGATCAATTTGCTAGTGTTCTATGGTCTGGGCAATCAGTCAACAAGTTTTCACTGAGAAGCTATTTTATTTTATCCCTCCCCACCACCACTTAAACATTTTTTTTAAATTGATTTTTAGAGCGAGAGGAAGGGAGAGGGAGAAAGAAAGAAAGAAAGAAAGAAAGAAAGAAAGAAAGAAAGAAAGAAAGAAAGAAAGAAACATTGACGTGAGAGCAAAACATCAATCGGCTGCTTTCTACACATGCCCCAACTGGAGATTGTACCTGAAACCCGGGCATGTGCCCTGTCTGACTGGGAATCCAACCTGAGATGTTTCAGTGTATGGAGACAATACCCAACAGGCACCGGGATAGCCTTTGTGGAAGATCCCAAGTACAAAAAAAACACACCACAAAATGTTAAAACAATGAAAAAGAAGGAACAAGGCTGCATAGTTCACAAAACTATAGTTATGAATTAATTGTGTAAGGAACAAAACCTGAAGAGGAAAGGAGAAAGACTTCCCTGTGGACTAGAATGGGATGGATAGGCTTTAGAGAGTGAGATTTTTTTTTTTTAATCCTCACCTGAGGATATGCTTTCAGGGAGAAACATTGATGAGTTGCCTCCCGTATGCACCCCTACCCAGGATTGAACCTGCAACCTTTTGGTGTATGGGACCATATCCCAACCAACTGAGCCACCTGACCAGGCACAGAGTGAGATTTCAGCAAGATTTTAAAGAACTAGAAGGTTGATAGGGTTTGAATAGTCTAGCGAACAACTGAGTACTATAACAGAAGAATGATATAACAAAACACAAAGGAAGAGAAATTTAAGATGTATCATCTGGAGGACTGGTGAAAATGAGTAACTGAAGAGGGTAAGTGTTGGCCAGATGGTAGAAGGCCTTTAGTTTCAGAATAAGGAATTGGGGTCTAATCCTAATGGATAATTAATGATAGCTGTTGATTGGGTGAGCAAGTTGACAATGATGTAACACTTCAAAAAACTATGAGGAACATTGTTCCTGGTCCTCAAAAAGACAGCAGAGCCCCTGAACTTCAGGATCCAAGGTGAGGAGACCAGACACATTCTCTGATTGCTTGACTGGGTAGAAGATGGACCACCTTAGCCTTCTTACTTATTGAGTAAATTTTCCTATCATGAAATGTGCTGTATATGATTTTTTTCATTTCCTTCACTGGATATTTTAGATTCTCAGTTTAGTCATCTTGCCTTGGCCTCTTGTCTGATAGTCGCCAGGGAAAGGTGACTCACTGAGTATCCTAATTTACCAGTGAAAGAAAAATTATATTATTGCCCAATTTATACAACTTTTACATAGATGTAAATTTGAGCTCCTAAGTTATAAATTGGTAAAATTTTATTTTAAGCACTAAATTATGTAAATTCCCCATATTGATCAAGAATGGCTTAATTTCGAAGGTCCTCCTTGAGGACTGAGGGGTCCCCGTCCCACACCAGGCGCCCAGCTCAGGGTTCCAGTGCCAGGAAGAGAATCCCCATCACTTCTGGCTGGAAAACCAGCGGGAACTGAGGCTCAGGGAGGCTGAGGCGGCTGGAGCCCCAGGCAGCTCCTTAAAGGGCCTGCGCACAGACTTATCGGACTCACTCTAAGCTTGTAGGGGAGGCAGTTTGAGGGGCACCAGAGACGTACAAGGAAGAACTGAGCTGTTTGGCACTGGAGCGAGGGCTGGAGAGGGGGTTTTCTCCGAGATAGACATGCTGTTGGAGGCCTTTGTTCCTTTGGTGAGCCCTTCCCTGGGGCAGCAGACAGCCGCCATATCTGGGACTCCAGCAACCTGGCTCACACTGGTTGCCCCGCCCTGGTGATTCCCTGAGGCCCCACCCCACCCCACCCCACCCCACCCAGCTTTCAGGCCCACTCAAGCTGTTGCCAGTTGCTTAACCATAGGATTGGCTTGTCTTGGATCCTGCTTCAGGTTTTCCTAAATTCTTTCAAACAAGCAGCATCTGGTCTCAGATAGCCCCATACCTCTCGTTAAGTAATACACAGAAACAAACACAGGGAGGCAGCCAAAATGAGGAGACAAAGAAACAGGTCCCAAATGAAAGAACAGAACAAAATCCCAGGAAAAGAACTAAGCGAAATGGAGATAAACAACCTAACAGATGCTGAGTTCAAAACACCGCTTATAAGGATGCTCAATGGACTTAGTGAGAACCTCAGTGAACTTAGTGAGGGTCTCAAGAGCATAAATCAGACACCAGTCAGAAATGAAGGAGGCACCAACTGAAATAAAGAATAATTTACACAGATTCAATAGTAGAGTAGGTAAAGCCAAGAAGCAAACCATTGATTTGGAATATAAAGAAGCAAAAAGCACCCAATCAGAACAGCAAAAAGAAAAAAGAATCCAAAAAAATGAGGATAGTGTAAGGAGCTTCTGGGACAACTTCAAGCGTGCCAACATTTGCATCTTGGGAGGGCCAGAAGGAGAAGAGAGAGAACAAGAAATCGAAAACCTATTTGAAACAATAATGGCAGAAAACTTCCCTAACTTGGTGAAGGAAACAGACATACAAGTCCAGGAAGCACAGAGTCCCAAACAAGACGAACCCCAAGAGGCCCACACCAAGACACATCATCATCAAAATGCAAAAAGTTCAAGACAAAGAGAGAATCTAACAAGCAGCAAGAGGAAAGCAGTTACTTACCTACAAGGGAGTTCCCATTAGACTGTCAGCTGATTTCTCAAAAGAAACTTTGCAGGCCAGAAGGGAGTGGCAAGAAATATTCAGTGATGAAAAAGCAAGAACCTATAACCAAGATTACTCTATCCTGCAAAGCTGTCATTTAGAATCGATGGCCATATAAAGACTTTCCCAGACAAGGAAAAGCTAAAGGAGTTCATCATCACCAAACCATTATATGAAATGTTGAAGGGTCTTCTTGAAGAAAAAGATAAAAAATATGAACACACAAAATGGCAATGAATATATATCTATCGACAATTGAATCTACAAACAAAACGAATAAGCAGAACAGAAACATTCTCTTAGATACAGAGAACATTTTGTTGGTTGCCAGATGGGATGGGGGTTGGGGGAATGGGTGAAAAAGGTGAAGGGATTAAGAAGTACAAATTGGTTGCTAGACTGACAAACCTCAAAGGGAAGGGGGTTGGGTGTGAGAAGAAATAAACCAAAGAACTTATATGCATAACCAATGGACACAGACAACAGTGTGGGAAAAGGCAGGAGGGGGACGGAGTGGGGAGGAGGGGGTCAATAAGGGAAAAATGAGGAACATCTGTAATACATTCAACAATAAAAAAATGGCTTAGTTTCAAAGCCTGACTCAAGTGAATCGGAAACTAAGATTTTTCTTTTGCCTCAAGGATGTATTTTGTTAAAACATCCACCAGCCTTTAGTCTTGACTTATGCATATTTTGAACAGAGAGATCTTTTAAAATTCACCCTACATGTTAACTGTGGATTTTTGTATATCATGCCCTCAAAACCTACTAAGAAAAATAAATAAAACACCTGGGAACACTAAAAACCACCTCCTCAGGAAACTTCAGGAAAGGCACCTGGAAAGATTTCCTAAGTATCACAGCGGTTCTTATAACCAGGAAAGTTTGTTGCAGAACCAAGACAAGATCCTTGCCCTGGAAATACTTTTCTTGTGGAGATGCCTGTACTGCTCAGCTTTCACCAAGAGCAATAAGGTTGGCTGGGTAGGATTGAGGGAAGGTTTGATCGAAATGAGGACTAAATAAACTCTGAAAGGAACTTGGTCCTGGTTTCTCACACTACGCAAAAGAGGCAACATTATGGACCAGATGATTCTCAGTTACAGGCCGTCCTATTAATTATAGAATGTTTAGCAGCATCCCTGGCCTCTGGCCTGTACTTTCTATGTAGACCAACAAACTAAAGCACATGGCTTTATTGGATGAAATTGGTTGAAGACAATTAGAAGCTGATGCAAACGGTGCTAAGTGAAGCCCTCTATCGGTTACACCCTAGGAAAATGAGCTCCCTCGCCCGTATTTAAAACATATAGGGGGCCCTCCCCACCCAAGAATCTCACTAAATGGTATCAAACCTACATTCCGCGACTCGTGTATTTAAAGCTTCCATTGTGGATCCTAAAGTAGGGACGTTGAGAACTAATCCACTCGTTACCATTGAGAGTCGTGCTATTAGACTGAGCAGTTTTAATAAACAGGGTAATCCTCACGATCCCAACCTAGCTCTCGGCCACGTATGTACCCCAGACCAAGACCCCGCCTGTCCCCACTCCCGCCCCCCAAAAAGCTTACCAACCTCGCAACAAGTGTTTACAGCCGCTTCGGCAATAAATGAAGTGGCTCTGAAAAGAGCCTTTGGGGTAAAGGAGCTGTTTCAGCACGTTTCTGGCGCACTTTTACTTCGAGCTGGTGTACTTGGTGACGGCCTTGGTGCCCTCGGACACGGCGTGCTTGGCCAGCTCGCCGGGCAGCAGCAGGCGCACGGCCGTCTGGATCTCCCGGGACGTGATGGTCGAGCGCTTGTTGTAATGCGCCAGGCGGGACGCTTCGCCGGCGATGCGCTCGAAGATGTCGTTGACGAAGGAGTTCATGATGCCCATAGCCTTGGAGGAGATGCCGGTGTCCGGGTGAACTTGTTTCAGTACCTTATACACGTAGACAGAATAGCTCTCCTTCCGGCTGCGCTTGCGCTTCTTCCCATCTTTCTTCTGCACTTTCGTAACAGCTTTCTTGGAGCCCTTCTTGGGAGCAGGAGCAGATTTCGCTGGGTCCGGCATCTTCACACGAAGAAACAGCACTCACGAATTGAATCGCGAAGTTAGCCGAGTTGGCTGTGCGCTACTTATAGAGCCTATATGCAAATGAAGACGCGAATGATACTGAGTTTTCATTGGTTGATTTCCAACAGTGGCGTCATAGAGGTGGAGCGTATGTAAATAAGATACTGCTCGCCCTCCCTTAGGGATTATTAGAACAAAAGTCTCGTCAGCCAATCAAAATGTTCCATTTGAGACTAACCAGTAAATTATGTCGTGTTTTTTCTGCGTTTGGGTCTTTACTGCTGTTAGTTGCCTTTTCCTTCAATGCCCTTATTTATGGAAGAGATTTGCAGCGCCACTTGTACAAGTTAACTCATGGTTTTGTTCTATGCCTTGTGGAAGTTCGTTTTAATTTTTCTAACAATACTTTAGCTCACATTTTAAAAAACAAAACCTCCAGGCGTTATTTCCCATTCCGGTTTACGCCACCTGTATTATTCAGTTAAAATACTAAATTAGAAATGTAATTTATGTAGTTCTTAAGCATAAACCAGGATAAGGTTTTGTAATTTTTGAAAGGAACTTGCCTCTACTCCCGTCTCTACACTCGGGATCTCATCTCAGGACTCAGTACAATGCCAACTTACCCCCATTCCTTTTACCAGTTAAAATCCTGGCATGGTTCCAGTAACCAGAAAGCGTACTCAGACTAGCATCTGGAATTGCTAACGACCTTCAAAGGGTCAGTTTCTGTACTCAGATATGTGCTAATACTTTGTTAGGACCTTTGAAAAGGCTGCAAACAGCTGAAAGGGAAAGATTCCACCCTCTTGCAAAATTTCCCCTAAATAGTAAGGACTGGTGGTTCCGGAGTTGAAACCAAGCCAGCATGCAAAAACAAGCGTGCCAAAAACAATGTAGACCTTGCCTTAACTGTTAATGTCAAGCTCCGGTCAGCTGAGCCAAAAGCGAAATAAGGATATTGACTGATAAATGTACCCTCTTCCCCACATTAGTGATATGATGTGAAATATGACGACTGAAAAGGCGGTGCAACTGCTTTTCAAGAAAACGTGGGTGGCTCTGAAAAGAGCCTTTGGATTGTCTCCTTAAAGCGACCTGCTTTAAGCCCGTTCCCCGCGAATGCGGCGGGCCAGCTGGATGTCCTTGGGCATGATGGTCACGCGCTTGGCGTGGATGGCGCATAGGTTGGTGTCTTCGAACAGCCCCACTAAATAGGCCTCGCTCGCTTCCTGCAGCGCCATCACGGCCGAGCTCTGGAAACGCAGATCCGTCTTGAAATCCTGTGCGATCTCGCGCACCAGCCGCTGGAAGGGCAGCTTGCGGATCAGCAGCTCGGTGGACTTCTGGTAGCGGCGGATCTCGCGCAGCGCCACGGTGCCTGGGCGGTAGCGGTGCGGCTTCTTCACGCCGCCGGTGGCCGGGGCGCTCTTGCGGGCCGCTTTGGTAGCTAGCTGCTTCCGCGGGGCCTTACCACCGGTCGACTTGCGAGCAGTCTGCTTAGTACGCGCCATAATGTTAGTCTACTGAGGAGTCTCTAGCCAGGCGTATTTATAGACATAGCCTCGCTTTGATTGGACCAAAAGGCTACTAGGAATTTCAAGAATTGTGATCGTATTGGCTAGAACCCAATCCTATTACTGGGACTGAAGATTGTTACGCTGATCTTCTCTTTATTAATCCCCTCTCGCACTTTTCTATAGTCTTATTATCAATCACAGATCATTATTATTATTTAAAGATCTTCTCTTTAAATCGGTGTAATTTTTGTAAGAGCGTTTTACAAAGTGTTTTTGCACGCTTGAGATATATTTTAACAGGTTCTTTAGAAATACAAGCATGTCCTTCCATGAGCTAGGTTTCAACCTATATTTCCAGTCAGGAGTTACTGTAACTCCTTTCCCATAGTTAATGTTTATTTACCGCCTGACATTGTGCTAAGCGTGCTATGGTTCAGCAAAACAATAGGCAAGTTGAAGGAACCAAAAGTTGAATTTACGTTTACCTGACTTCGAAATCCAGTTCAAGCCCAGTGCTAACTTGTCCAAACTTGCAGAGTAGTTTTCTGCCTTTCTGTAGCCTTTTCTCCCAGTTATGCGGTTCCCTCCTCCTCCTCTCTCCATTAAAGGCTAATTAGGTCCTATAGACGAAACAATTCTAAGTCAAGGAAGACCGGAAATATTAATTTCTCCTTTAGGATGGTGAATAGTTTCTAAACAGTCCTTACTTTTCAGTCAGACTAAAGATTAAGATTCAAAGCAAATAAATTACTCGTTGATTACTGAGTTGCTAGCATATGTCCTTCAATAAAGTATTTTCTAATGCTTAAAAGTCTCATTTTTTCTTTATAAAGAAATCAAAGATTCTTTACTTTTTAGTTGTTTCACAATGCTATGAAGTATTGCTTGGAAAATTGCATGTCATAAAACAGCATTTATGTAAGGTTACTAATGTTTACAGTTGTAATAAATATAAAACTTTGAAACAGCTGCTTATTATATTGAACGACCATTGAATCCAAGCCTTATAAAAAACTCAAACCTTAGAACAAAAGCAGGCCAAAGAAACTTAAAACTTACCTCGATGTCAATATGAATGATCATCTTCCTGCTGAAGTTATAATAAAATAAGTGATTTTCAGGGGATTTCCTGAATATTAAGCACAACATAGAAATTTGTTTGTATCTTCAACTGTCTCCTTGGGCAAAGCAATCTCCTGCTCTAGGGAAAAAAAATCTAAAATGTCATGCAAAAGTGTAACTGATGGGAATAGCTGTTACTCCTTCCTATGGTTTTTTATAATAACATACATAGAGCACTAATCAGTGTTATAAAATTCTTCTATATATACCATCTCATTAAATCACAACTCTGTGAAACAGATGTTATTTTCTTCATGTTACAGAGAGAGAAACTGAGTCTCAGATAAATTATGGCTTGTCTCAGATAAGTAACCAGGCCTGCATAATATTCTAAAGCAAAAATATAAAATAATGATGAATATCCAATTGTATCACACTTGAGTTACATTTTATTTTATTTATTTATTTATTTGTGGTGCGTGTCCCTAGCAGGAACTGAACTGGGACTCTCTGGTCCGCAGACTGACCCTCAACCATTGAGCCAAACTGGCTAGGACTTGAATTATGTTTTAAAACACTGAAGAATTTGCCCATCATGTAATTAAATCACTCAGTGTTTCTCAAACTTTTGCATTGAACTATTCCAATTAGAAGAAACTATCTATGGTGTCTGGATGACAGCCCAAAGCAGCTCACCCAAATGTCACATTTCTTTGCATTGTTTTCTGGGTTTTGTAATTTTTTTAATTAATTATTTTTAATGTATGCACTTTAGATAAGAAAGATTCTCAAGCTGTATATTTATATAGAACCCCACTATCATGGGATTTATAACATAGAAAATAAGAAAATTCCAAGAGTCTTCCTCTGGCTTAATAAAAAAAAATGTATACCCTGGCTGGTGTTCTCCATGGTTAGAGCGTTGGCCCGCACACTGAAGAGTCTTGAGTTTGATTCCTCATCAAGGGCGCCTTACCTGAGTTGCAGGTTCATCCCCAGCCCCTTTAGTGTGCTTGCAGGAGGCAACAAACAGACGTGCCTCTTTCACATGATGTTTCTCTCTTTCTCCCCCTCCTTACCTTCCTTCCACTCTTTCTAAAAATCAATGGAAAAAAATATTCTCAAGTGAGGATTTTTTTTTTTTTGTTATCCTCACCCGAGGACATTTTCCATTTTTTGCTCAGGTAGAGTGGGAGGGAGAGAGAGGAAGAGAGAGAGAGAGAAACATTGACGCGAAAGGGACACATCGAGTGGCTGCCACCTGCACGACCCAATCAGGGCCGGGGACAAACTGCAACCGAGGTACACGGCCCTAGTGGGAACCAAACTCGGGTCTTTCTGGACCATAGGCCGACGCTCTAACCGCTGAGCCAAACTGGCCAGGGCTCAGGTGAGGATTTTTTTCAAAAAAAGAAGTAAATTGCCCTGGCCAGTTTGGCTCAGCGGTTAGAGTGTCGGCCTGCGGTCTGCAGAGACCAGGGTTCGGTTCCCGCTAAGGGCACGTACTTCGGTTGCAGTTTGTCCCCGGCCCTGGTTGGTCGTGCGGGTGGCAGCCACTCGATGTGTCCCTTCACGTCGATGTTTCTCTCTCTCTCTCCAAAAAAAAAAGCCCCAGCTTGTGTGGCTTAGCAGTTGGAGCATTGGCCTGTGGACCAGAGAGTCCTGGGTTCGGTGTCCGCTAGGGGCACATACCAAAAAAAAAAAAAAAAGTAAATTAATGCCCTTGCCAGGGGTTCTGTTGGTTGGAGCCTCTTGCAGGAGGCAACCAATTGGTATTTCTCTTTCACATTGATCTCTTTCTCTCTATCCCTCACCCTACCTCTCTCTCTCTAAAATTAATTAAAATACTCTCGGTGATGATTAAAAAAAAAAAAAAAGAGTGAATTATTAGGCTCATCATGTTTTTTTATACAAAAGTAATGGATGAAATTAAAATATGTGTTCCGGGGAGACAGTTTGTGTTTAATCTTTGACTCAAGTATCCCCGGGGCTTCAGGTACCACCAAGATGAGACCATATGCCTGATTCCCTTTCATCTGGAGAGACCTGCAGCCCTGTACCAAACTAAGAAGCCATAGGATTTTGAACTTCCTTCCTTATTCCATTTTGAGATAAACTCATTCTTTAACATGTTGCTCATTGAATAAAAACTCACCCTTTTCTACCTGTCCTTAACACTACTGCCTGTACTGTACAGTGAAGGGTAGTATAAAGGAGGGAAAAAAATTTCCTTCACCCTCTGAGGGTCCCTGGCTGGATCTGAAAATTAAATCAACAAAGACAGATTAACAGAAGAAAAACACACAAATTTATTTAACAAGTTTTACGTGACACAATTTAATAAAGAAATGAGGATCTGGCTGGGCTGGAGTGGCTCAGGGGTTGAGCATCATCCTATGCACCAGGAGGTCCCCAGTTCTAGTCCTAGTCAGGGCACATGCCTGTGTTTCTGGGCTTAATCCCCAGTAGGGGGTGAGCAGGAAGCAGACAATCAATGTCTTCCTCATCATTGGTTTTTCCTCTCTCTGCCTTCCTCTTTTTGAAATTAATTAAAAGCGCGCGCGAGAGAGATAAAGATCTGAAGAAAGAGTTATACCTGAGTATTTTTATGTTAGGTTTATAAAGTCATGTAGAAATAGGACAGGTTAAGGAGCATGAGGTAAGTATAGTAACCTGGGGGAAACAGCAAGTCCTGTTCGTTAGGATCCTTCTGTGTGTTCCTTTGCCTTTAAAGATAGGAATGCTTCTTTCCTCTGGATATGGAAAGGACAGCTCTCGCAAGAGGGTTTTATGACCTGTTTCAGGGGAGAAGTTCCAGGGGAAGGCCACTTCAACTTAAAATACTTAATATTATAAGGTACTGTGTTTGGAGGTAGCATGTCCTGAACCCCATCAGTGGCAGAATATGCCACACCTAAAATATGCCATTTTGGCATAAGCATTATTTTAAGCTAAAGGCACTTGAAAAACAGCAGGTACAAGAGGGCAATCTAACTTTCCATATGAAGAAAATAACATTCTTATCAACAAGGATGGGGAGTCAAAGCCGAGAGAAATCTGTACAAACAAACATTGTTAAACTAACCTTTATCTTCCTGGTCACTTTCCCACCATTAATGCCTTAACCCAAGACCTTCTGTCATGTTACATTTTCTCAATTTACTACTCTTTGTCCAATTCAGTATGTAAGTGTTCAACTCTAACTGCTTCCTTGATCTTTCATTTCTTTCTCTTTTTATTTTTTGATACGTGCCCCTAGTGGGAACTGAACCCGGGACTGTCTGGTTCGCAGGCCAACACTCAAACTGCTGAGCCAAACCAGCTAGGGCTGATCTTTCATTTCTTTATGAGGGTTCCCATGGCAAGTAAAACTTACAGTGAATAAATGTGTATGCTTCCTCCTGCTAATCTGTCTCATGGCAATTTAATTCTCAGGCCTAGCCAAAAACCTTAAGAGAGTAGAAATAAAATTTTGCTTCCCCTACAGCAGCTAAGTGTTTGAGGGGGTACAGAACATGCCACCCCAAAACATGCCACTTTGGTAGTATGTTGATTTTGAGCTGAAGGCACTTGAGAAATGGCATACAAAAGAAGGGCTCTCTGACCTGCCCCTTTTACCTAAAAATAGCTCATAAAATTCCCCATGTAAAAAGTTCCATCCCAGTATCAGGAACAGAAGAACATTCTTTACACCAGAGACGGGGAATTGGCATCAAAATTGATCTGTACAAACCAACCCACTGAAATAACCTGTATCTTCTATGACTTTCCCCCATATATATCCTAGTCATTATGCCACAATTTACTCTCCCCAGCCCAAGCCTCAGAATTTATTGTTCTGTTTTTAAAAATATGTATAAACTTTTGGGCCTAACAGGCTTTTCAGATCTTCATTTCCTTCTGATTGCTACAGTATACACCTATAAATATTAAAATTTGTTCCTTTTGGATCAGTCTTATGTTAGTTTAATTCTTAAACCCAGGCAATTGGGTTCTTTTTTCAAGCAGATAAGGGGAATTTAAAGAAAGTCTGTCCCTGCATTTGCTGTTTTTCAAGTACCTATGGCTCAAAATAATCAACATACCAAAGCCTCATTTTGGTATGGCATGTCCTGAACTCCTAGTCATATTTTGCCGTGGCAGAGTCTGCTACCCTTCAGGATCTACTGTGAATTCCAGGGTGTTGTTTTAGACATGTGATGCATGGTGGCACCATTCAGTGGACAGAGAAAGGGTGTGTGTGTGAATCCTCTCAGCTCCTGTGAATTGCAATTTAGTGACTATCAGTTTAAATATATATATATATATATTTTTTTTGGAGATTTTTGTTTTGAATTTAAAAAGGCTAAAGAACAAGCAGGAGGATGAATCTACATGTCTGAAGCCTAGGAATCTGGATAAAAATACAGATTTGGAATTCGTTAGCATAATGGAGGTAGAGCCAAAGGAGAGATGAAAGAAGCTGCCTAGCCCTGGCTGGTTGGGCTCAGCGGTTGGAGCGTTGGCTTGTGGACCAGGGAATCTCGGGTTCGGTTCCCACTAGGGGCATGTACCAAAAAAAAAAAAGCCACATAAGACTTTTTTAAGATAAACATTTCACAGAAAAACCTTAATTCTTTCTGATGGAGAAACCACATCTCACCGAATGGCTTGAAGAGGCCTGGGTAAAGTAAGGAAAGTGCTATCCATAGGGTAAGAACACCAATCAATTTCACAGGGCAGTTTCTGGTAATAACTCAATACGGAGCAGATGTCATCTTTTGAAACCCAAGTCAGCAAGCTCTGTAGCTCTGTGTGGGGCCTCAATGGGTACACAATTTGGGAACTGAATCCTGGCTGAAAACAAGGGTCGATTTTTTTTTTCTCACCTGAGAACATTTTGCCATTTTTTGTTCAGATAGAATAGGAGGGAGAGAGAAGGAGAGAGAGAGAGAGAGAGAGAGAGAGAGAGAGAGAGAGAGAGAGAGAAACATCGACGTGAAAGGGACACATCGAGTGGCTGCCACCCGCACGACCAACCAGGGCCAGGGACAAACTGCAACCAAGGTATATGCCCTGAGCAGGAACCGAACCTGGGTCTCCCTAGACCGCAGGCTGACTCTCCAACCGCTGAGCCAAACAGGCCAGGGCAAGGGTCGATATTTGATGATCTACAAACAGTTACAGAATATCCTGTTCTCTTTCTGTATACTTTACTTCTTTCAGAAAGCTTTGGATGACAGTTCTTTGGACTCACTGATTTCCATGAGAAGGTTTGGCAACATAGTGTATAGAACAATTTCCTTAAGATCTCATTTCCCCTGGGTGAGGTGAAATTCCGGGCCTCATACCACCAAAATAAAGACTACATTCGGGCATTATGCCGCCCTCCCTCTCTTTCCCCCATATTCCAAGTGCAGCTCTGGAGATCGCACTGTCATTCTGTTGGTCTAACGTTCAGAAGTAATGATAGCTCTTTTCCGCAACGAGTTTGGAGCCTGGGATCCTCTTGTTGGGACTAGACTCGGCGCTGGGGCTCTCGCCTTCGTTCTGCCTCTGGGCTCCATTTGCTCTTCTGGTCTCCTCTCTCAGAAAGACCCCTCCCGGTTCGCCTAAATGGGGGCGCGCAGAGGGCGAGGAGAGGAAAACAGCTGTGGAATCCGGAAGCCTGGCTTTAGGCTCTGAATTCTCCCGGGACCGTGGCAGACAGGGTCCGCTAGAGGGCGGCGTGGAGGGTGGAGAAGAAGGGCAGAGGACACGTGGGGAAAGAAAGGAGAGGCGGTGGAGGGGCGGGGACAATTTCGACCGCTTCCTGCCCGCGCGCTTGCTGCTTTCAACCCGGTCCGATATTCTGGTATATCTGGGGCCTCGCCGGCCTCGCCAGCACTGAAGTTTGGTTCAAACAGCGACAACAGCTATGTCTGGGAGAGGCAAGGGCGGCAAGGGCCTAGGCAAAGGTGGTGCTAAGCGCCATCGCAAGGTCCTGAGAGATAACATCCAGGGTATCACCAAGCCCGCCATCCGCCGCCTTGCTCGGCGTGGTGGAGTCAAGCGCATCTCGGGCCTCATTTACGAGGAGACTCGGGGAGTGCTGAAGGTGTTCCTGGAGAACGTGATCCGCGACGCAGTGACCTACACCGAGCACGCCAAGCGCAAGACGGTCACTGCCATGGACGTGGTGTACGCCCTGAAGCGGCAGGGGCGCACTCTGTATGGTTTCGGAGGTTAGGTCGCTGGATGCTTAAGTGTGCAGGAATCTCAAAGGCCCTTTTTAGGGCCACCCATATAAGCAGTTGAAAGAGCTGGACACGAGATCTAATTTCGTTTGGACTTTGGTGTTACACTGGGGTCAAGGGAGTAGAGGAGGAACCGTGCCACCAACAGACCCCCCTTCACATCTTCTGCTTCGTTTTACCTGTCTGGAAGGCTGTCATTCCCCAGGCTAAAGCAGTATTTCGGTTTGCCTCTAGCCTGAGTGGTAGTTCTGCCTCTTGGTGATTTGAACTTTTTAAATTTGGGCTTCACTTCTCAGTTCTGCGATGAAAGTGGACCAGGTGACTAGGGCCTGAACAAATTAAAGGATGTTTTGTGACACTACACTGCTTATTTGAAAAGGCACGAGTTCTTGCACTTGCAAAGTCAAATCCAATCAACTATTCAAATACAGAGTGGGGCAAAAGTAGGCATACAGTTGTTTGTAAAGAAAATGTTACAATAATTAAATATGCAAGTAAATTTGATGCACTTGAAACTTGTAAACCTAATTTTGTCCCACCTTGTATGTTACTAGAATGAGTTCATTAGTGCCACTTGAAAATATTTGACAGTTGTCTGGCCAGTGTATGAAAAGTATTCTTGGTTTTCTGTTTTTGTTGTTCAGTGAAGAGGTCTCTCACAGGGGTTTGGTGTACCTTATATTTAAAAAATTTTGACATTTTGGTACTACATTCAAGAAAATTTAGTCAATGATCTATGAGATACTGTCTTTCAGTGACAGTATTTGAAAGATACAGGTGCAGAGACAGTACCCTATAAAAGCAAAGGAAACTAATGATATCTTTTTAAAAAAATCCAATGTTAGGTAAAAACCCTATAATTAAAATTTTTTATCTTTATTGAAAGTATTACAGATGTCCCCCCTTTTTACCCATTGACTCCCCTCCACCCTGCAAAACCTTGGAGCCACCCCAGACCTACTGAATGAGAAACTCGGGTGAGACCTAACAATTCTTGTTTTTAACAAACTCTCTAGGTGATTCTGATACACAAGATTTAAGAACTATGGGCCCAGCCGGTGTGGCTCAGTGGTTGAGCATCGACCCATGCACCAAGAGGTCGCTGATTTGATTCCTGGTCAGGGCACATGCCCAGGTTGTGGACCAGATCCCCAGTGTGGGGCATGCAGGATGCAGTCAACTGATATTCTCTCTCATCGATGTTTCTATCTCTCTCTCTAAAATTAATAGAGACACTATGTAAAAAAAAAAAAAAGTTTAAGAACCATGGATCTAAGCAAGTCTGTCTTTAAATGAAACAAAAGTATTTAGAATTTGAACATATATTGCCCTATATTTGTTTACCATAATGTTGAATTTTGTTTTCTTTGTTGGAAAAAGAAATTGGGTGAATGATTCTAATAAACTGTACAAAGTATTGCAGGAGGAAAGGGTAAAGTTTATTTTCTCAAAGTGATACCATTGTAATTAGCTAGTCTCTCCAATAACAAAGTATTTAGGGCAAACAAACCAAAAAAAAAAACAATGTATGAATAAAAAATAATCATTAATGGTCAGTGTAAGAACAGAAAACAGGCCTTTCTTTTTTGTTATGATTTTCCACAATTTATGAGAAGCACCTGGTAATTAAACACAGAGCTTGCTGGTGTATCTCAATTCAAACTGTTTTTCCACTCAAACAGTAAATAGATAAGGGCTGCGCTTTTCCCCACCCCCTCCTCCCCGCTGTTTAGCAATTCCAGGATAATTCATACCAAAGAGTCTCTGATGAACAGAAATTTTCCTTCTCCTTTGCCTTCAGACAAATCTCCCTTTTCCAAACTTTTTGTAACCCCTTTAGACAATATTCACCCTTTTTGCACTATTAGTAAATTTCTTTGCCTCAAAGCATCGTTTACAGGCGAGAGAAGATATTGATAAGGATGCCTCCCTGGCGCCGGACTATCTCCTAGAAAACAAACTGCAGTTTCTCAAGGCCACCCCTGGGTCTGTTCAACTTCATCACAATCCCCTCCTTGTCTCAATTGTCATTTACTTCCCAAAGCCCCCAATAAAAGAGCAACTCTCTCTTCCTTGCCCCTTGTATTGCAGTCAATGCATGGGTCTTTTCCTTACTGTGGGGAAAGTAAATAAACTTCCTCCCTTTTTTCTCTTCTCTCTGTTGTGAATTCTTTCACAAGCCCGCATCACCGGCCAAACCATAACAGTCTGTACTTTTAAACGTATTGAATTTAATAATCAATAGTTATGTTTCTTTTTTTCTTCCTAAATTTCTCCAAGATCTTGTATCTAAACCAATAATTATATATCTTCTTTAGAGTGATATTAATAGTGACCCTTGTTGGATTAAAGTGATCGGGGATGCGAAGAAAGCACCAGCAGGCAAGATGAATTCAAGATGAACGGAGGTCTATAGCTCTCTCAGGCATGTAGCAGAACTCCTAAACATCATGATTTTTATTGTGTAAGGTTACATAAATCAGTGCCCCACCACCCAAGGTTACATCTAAGCTCAAACAATGTTTAATTGTGATTTATGTAAAAGGAAAAAGGTTAAAAACTATTTTAACAGGATGTCTTAAGAAAGGAATGTAGCCTCCGTGTTCTGAAGATTATTGTAAAGGGAGTTTCCCATGCCTGCAAGGCATAACAACATATGTTTTCTTTTATTAGGGTCATAATGACCCTGAGAACCCGGAGACAGTCCAAGACTGTTCCAAGAACCTCTTGCATTTGCTTGGCCGGCGTGACTCGCTTGCAAGTCAACTCCGGGCGAGTGTCCTTGGTTGTGTACTGATTCTCAGGAATCCATCAGACCCTCTTCCCATCCTGCCATACTCTTATGATATGGCTTAACTGAATCTTCTGTTAGCTGTATCCAGCCTTGGAATATTGCCAAGTTATAGAACACACATTTAGAATCTCTTTGGCCTGGCCAGTGTGGCTCAGTGGACTGAGCATTGTCCCATGGACTGAGAGGTCCAGGTTAGATTCCTGGTCAGGGCACATGCCAGGCTTCTGGGCTCGATCCTGTCAGGGGAGTGCAGGAGGCAGCCGATTGAGGTTTTTCACATCGATGTTTCTATCTCTCCTCTCTATGAAAAATCAACAAAAACATATTTTTAAAAATTGTTACCAATTTTCACCCTACTGCTAGGATTATTAGCAAGCATAATCTGGGATATTGAGGCACTAACAAACTATAACCAAGTGCCTTAAGCGATACCTTCAAAGGAATGTCACTCATAACTATGGAAATGACCCTGATAATAGCGGCAGTACTCCAGAATAGAATAGCACTAGATATTCTCACAGCAGCCTAAGGAGGAACAAGTGCCTTCATAAAAACAGAATACTGTGAGCCCGGCTGTGGTGGCTCAGTTGGCTGAATGTTGTCCTGTTCACCAAAGGGTTACTGGTTCGATTCCCCATCAGGGCATAAGCCTGAATTATGGGTTTCATCTCCAGTTCAGGCTCTTATGGAGAGCAGCTGATCAGTGCTTCTATCGTATAGCAATGTTTCTCTCTCGCTCTCAGCATCCTCAGTTAAGGATTTAAAAACAAAAAAGAGAATACTGTGTATATATCCCAGGTAAGTCTGGGAACATTACCTCCCGCTCCACAGGACATGCACATACAAATCAATTCTATATCTGACCCATCCTTATCAATAAACCAATTGGCTGAGTCCTGGTTCTGATTAGGACCATCCTCATGGAAGAAGATATTAATTGCCTTAGCAATCATCATCGAGGTAGGTCCCATCTTATGCTGCTGTATCTACTCCTGTTGTAACTTTTGTATGGGAATACAAGACCAGTTATTGCACAGAATTACTGAATCTAATGTGAAATTTATAATGTTACAAGATGCTATCATAAGCAATCCTGGAACCTATTTAGAATTAGAGAAAAGAACATTTCAATCCTCTGCTGCCCCTTAATTTCATCAACCTAGTGACCGCTTCATGGACTTTCCTCATTAAACCTTCATTATAATACTAAAATGTCCACCCAGAAGTGGAGATTTTCTGCCATTTTTAAACATGTGATATATGTGTAGCCATGTTTTCCAACTGCGAGTGCACTGGGATCTCTTAACCTATACATGTGATGCCAAAGTCCACCTTGATTTCTCCCAACAGAAATAGATCAGATGCTTTGTTTGGGACATGTGCTCTGGGTGCGATCCTCAGTGTGTTCCTTTGCTCTCTGGCTTCCAATCAAGTTCCTTTTCATAAAATCATCTCAGAGTTGTCTTTTGTCTGGCAACTCCTGAGCATTTGGACTCGGTTCAGTCTGGTAACAAATTCCTCAGATGGGATGAGGGCCTCTAATCCTGAGCCAGACCTTGTAAAGACTCCTCAGTAAAGCATCAGGTAGCAGGCAGCCTGTCCTGGGCTTACCCACTCAAGCAGTCTGGTGGGGTTTCATTCAGAGCCCTAGTCCACGTGCAGTTAGTGCCCGCTCTGCAGAGCAGATGGCCCAGAATTCCAAACGAGCCACACAACTGCCGCTGTGAACTCCTTTGTCCAGTGATTCTTCCCAGACTATAGATTCCACCAGTCCCGTGTGCTGTCTCTAAAGGTCAGTTTCAATTTTGTCAGTAAGGAACATTGAGGGGTCCTAGGATCATTGTTTTCCCCTGGTGTTCTAGCTAAAGCCTACAAGACCCTTATTGGTCTGGGAAATTGAGAGAAATTTCTGGCCACTTGTAAAGAAAGCAACCTCATCGGCCTAAAATTTGGGATGCCCCAATACCTGGTTTTCTGGTTCTGATCCTGCCTCTCTCATTCTGTCCTTTCTGCTGTTTCAGTCCTGGAAGCCCCACCAGCGGGACCTATGCATGTGGCATGTGCACCTTTGTCAAGATATCTGAAAAGAAATTTCTCATTATCTGCTGGGGCTCCGCCTCTGAAATCGAAACCTCACGACAGTAGGCTTTTATGAGGAAATTTGAGGGCAAATTGAGAGACTATAAACTTCCTCTAGCCCCATAATCCCCCACACACCTGCTCTCTGGGTCCCCTCGGTAGCACCACACTCCAGCAGAGTAGCACCACACTCAGCTCTCTCCCCTACCTTCCCCACCTCTGGCTTTTCTCTCCCCACTCCGGGAGTCCAGGTGTGAATAACCACTCTTTGCCCTTGAATTGTTCAAATCCTGTGGGGCCCAATCTCTTGGAGTCTTTTATGTATCTACTGATCCTAGACCCCGTCACCTTAATCTGATCCTAGTAGACTGAATGACCCACAAGGCCCAGTGCCTTCAGAACCTTTTTATTAGGTTAAAGATTATGGTACTTATATATCCACTAACCACCAGAATAAACCCTTGGGTGGAATGGGAGCAGTTTGCATGTAAGGTAACCTCAACCTTACAACACAGGAAATAAAGTGCTGATCCCAGAGGAAAGCCCTCCAGGGTGTCACCTCCAGCA